TTACTGTGAGGACCGAACGTCAGAGCCATGTAAAAAGAATACTTACGCTTACCTCGGTCATGGCTTCTTAGAAAATCTTCAGGTGTCCCCTGTAGGTCGGTTTGTTATAACGTTTTATGCTCGTGTAGTAGTTGAAAGAAGAGATTCGAAGGTCCATCTCACCAGAAGACGACGGCTGATTCTCGTTGTACTAAAGCCGTTTAATACGACGTTCAGGCTTACGCAATCCACGAGTTTTGGGGAAAACTGACTGAGCTTTCGTCCATCATATAATGGAGGCCATCAGAGCTGTAACTCATTCTCAAAAAGCCTCTTCTTCTTGACTTAGTCTTAACTTGAAACTTTTGCAATAATACATTCTAGTTGTGAGGATGTCTATTAAATGATGGACGAAAGCGCAGCCCATTTTCATCCGAAATGTGGGAGGATATATCGTGGATTGCATAATTCTGAACGGCGTATTGAGGCCAAACAGTTCCAATACAACGTCAATCAATTATCATCATGTGGTGAGATCGACCTTTGAATACCTTCACATGCACTTTCATAGGAAATACAGATCGCCCCAACTACCACATGTAACACAAAAACCCATAACCAAGTAATCTATTAAGAACGTCTCGGGATTCTCCAAAAGAGGGCCTGACCGAAGAGAGCATTAATATTACTTTATAATTTGTCATAAAATTCGTTTTCTTCAGTAATTCGTTTATCTTTTTCGGAAGCCGTCAGGACGGTAGTATTAGGAACATGGACGAAGAGTGGCCTAATTCCCTGTTTGGTCCATATTTCGTAGTACTTTGCTATTATTATTAATTAGTCCAAACGGATAATTTTTATTAGACTTTCCAAACCTTGATGCTGGTGATTTAAGTCCGCTATACGAAAACTTCTTATTATCAGTGACTTCATACGTCCTACCTTGACAGCATAATTGCTATTTGAGAATAAATTAAATAGGAAACTCGCATTTGTGAGTTTCATATATACCTTTCTTTAATAACTGGGGTATCTGGAAAGGGACAAGCACAGAGTAACCAGCCAAATCATGAAATGCCTCATTACGATCGCACAGTTAAGGAAAAGGATTATGTGGAATTTTAACCGGCAACCTTTCTTGGCTGTTCGTAAATGCTGGTTTCTGGCTCTGATAATGTCCGTCACATGACGGATTCATTGGGTTCGCGGAGCGATAAGCCGAGGTCTTCTTCGCACAGTTAAACAATCACAACTGCAAAGCAATCCCTTCGGTATGAATTGGGGCCAATTCACGAAGCCCCTCCATTCGCATTTGCAAACGAAATGCAAAATAGACCAGCAGTTTCTATGACTGTTTCAAAATAAAGACTTTATAAGAGTAGCATAGTTGGGTATATGCTCTGGTCTCCCACGTGTGACCTCTACAAATAGGTACATTATTTGAGGCTGTCAGTACAGCTTCACTGAATTGCCGAATTTCTTTCAAAAGTCTAAACTGACAACTCGTAGCAAGTAAGGGAGTATAATAAATATTAGCATTCATACTTGGGTTTACACTTTCATCTCACTTATTTTAGGCTTCTCGACGTTCATCGGTGTTAAGTCTCATCGAGCATCGATGTGGTGCCGTGCCACTTCAGTACCGAAGCGATCTTGCTAATGCCTCTGGGGGCAGCTCCTTCTCCGGCACGTATATGAATATCTCCGAGATGCGTGCATCCATACACGAGCTTCAGCGCCTCCGGGACCGCCTGCTGGCAGGATTTGATCGTCTTGGACGTCGGTACGAGCTGGCCCGGGGGGTGATTATTGTCAAACGATACCGAATGCTGAAGGCGATGATCAGGGCCCTCGTTGATGATCCTTCGGTGGAAGAGTTGCTACAGTGATTTGAGAAACAACTGGAGCTACTCCGCTGGCACTAACTTAATCTCTACTAGCCATCCATCCGCCAAACCTGATACCTCCAACTGGAACAAAAGAAGTCTTGTCAGAAGTCGCATCAGTTTGGGGAGGTCAAAATGAACGAATCTGTTATACGGTCATACAGCACGACTCGAAATATGCCATCGGAAGTTGCTATGGCCGTAAAGTGTTTCGGGCTGTTCCGGTAGACGAATGCCTTGGAGAAGCATTCTGTCAACTCGGTGAATGCAGACCGATCATAAATGAGTCTGTTATAACAGCGCAATTCCATCTATGGCGCACAACCTTTATACAAAACTGCTGATACAGTGGTGCGCATATGCTTAGGATTTTTAAAGACAATTGTATTCGTAATGTTAATA